TTTTTTTTTTTTTTTTTTTTTTCGCGCATGCGCACAACAATCGAGGAGTAATGTCAACGACGTCGGAAATCTCGATGGAGGAGATGGCGGAGTGTAGTGGGAGTCTCACTGAGGCGGTGAGCCCCTCAAGGGGAACGATTACTAAGAAGAGGAAGGTGTCGATGAACAAAGAACCGGAGAAGATGAAGGATAGTATGGCAATGGTAAAAAGCATAATGGGCTGGATTATGACTACAACGATGAACGACCTAATCGGGAAAACGTTTACGGTGGATCGGAAGAAAGCGTTCGCACAAAAAGTTGTAGAGCTAGAGAGGGCGATGGCGACCATGGTGAGTCAGTGCAACGTGGCAAATGCTAAACTAGAGGAAAGTAGATTTAATAATGAGAAATTGATAGATAAATTAGGTGAAATAAGAAAAGAAAAGGAGATGATGGAAGCAAGAATTAAAGAGTTAGAACACGGGAATAACAGGAAATTGCTGGGAAAGCAGGAGGACGGACTGCAAATGCCTCCACCGAACAATATTCCAACATATTCAATGGTGACAAAGCAAAATAATAAAGGGGAAGGAATTGTGGAGATTAAAGAAGATGGGAAACAACGGTCAAGATCAAGGTCCTCGAGAAGGAACAGGATAAGGAGAGAATGCAGGGAACAGAGACCTCATGTGCCGTTCGAACTGAACCTGGGTAGCGGAGAAGCATATAATGCAAAGGAAGAATTGTGGACGGAAGTCACGAAGAAGGTGATGGTACCGAAAATGACGCTAATCAAACAAAAGGATAGAATAATAGTAACTGCAAAGGATGATGATACGTTAAGGGCAATAAAGGATATCGCGTTGATGGATAATAGGATTGTGGAAAGAAGCGCTAAATGGCCTAAAATTATGGTAAAAGGAGTGGATAAAGAAATATTGGGAGAACAAATATCACGAGCGATTGCCTTCTCCAATAGGGAGATAGGAATAGAACTGATAGAAGCGGATAAGAATATAAAACCACTCTTTAGAAAGGGACCAAGGGAGGCAGATACGGTAAACTGGGTGATAGAAGTGGCACCGATAGCATATGAAAGAATAATGAAGTTGGGTTTTATATATATAAAATGGAGCAGATGTAGGGTACAGGAGTTTTGTGATGTATCGCAATGCTTCAAGTGCATGAAGTTTGGACATATCATGACCAAGTGCAGACAGGAGGAGTTTACTTGTAAATATTGTACGAAGGGACATGACTCTAAGAACTGCAGTGAAGTGAATAGGCCAAAATGTGCAAACTGCGGAGAAGCGCATGTGGCAACGTCAATGGATTGCAGAGTGAGGGAAAGGCACATAAGAGAAAGCATGAGAAGAACGGACTATGGAGTGGTAAAAAGTGGAGATATAGTAATTTCAACATGACATTGTTTGCTAGTAATGCAAGGTCATCAGCCTCGGATCTGATGACAAGCGACAGTGGAGGGCTTACGAGACATAATATTAGAATGGTGCAAGTGAACCTAGCATGTGCGAACGAGGAACTATTAACATACTGCCAGAAGAACAAGGTAGATATGGCTCTCATCCAGGAGCCGTATACTAGGAACGGGAGGCTGGTGGGATTGGAGACGGCACCGTATAGGGTGATACTGGGAAGAACTGAGCTGATACCGGGAACCAGGAGCACGAGGGTTGGCTCAGCGATAGTGGTGTTTAATCCTGACCTAGTGGTGATGGCGTGTGGAGAACTAATTACAACGAATGTCGCAGTAATGAAAATGTCGTTAGGGGAAGGTAGGACGATTGCCTTGATATCTGCGTATTTCAGGTATAGAATCCCAACGGAGACCTACATTGCGGAGATGGATGAGGTGCTGGGAAAATTACAGTGCCCTGTATTAATCTGCGCGGATGTGAATGCGAGGTCAAGGAAATGGTTCGACCGGAGAAGTAATGATAGGGGAAGAATAGTTGAAGAATGAATGGATAGACGGGAACTAAACATCCTGAATGTACCGGGGCAGCCATATACGTTTTTTGGTCCGAGAGGGTGCTCGAATATTGACAGTACCTGGAAGGTGATCGTTGGGGAGGTCACGTCGGATCACAGGATCATACAACTGGAAATAGATCCAGGTAATCCGCAACGTAGTATAGTACCTGAGAAGAGGTTTGCTGAAGACAAAGCGGACTGGGTACGATTTGAAATGGTGGTCTACAGGGAAACGGAATTCATTAGAAAGGAATTCGATGAAGCGGACATAGATGGGAAGGTAGGTCTACTGATGGAAGTACTAGAGAAGGCAGCGAAGGAGACGATACCGCGCAGGAAAGTAAAGAACAGGTGTAAACCCCCTTGGTGGAACCATGGACTTAAGGAAAAAAGGAGGGAAGTAAGGAAGGCGCAGCGGGAATACGAAAGAATGGAAGGTGAACGCAAACAAGAAAAACGGATTATATACAACAGGAAGAGGAACGATTATGTGAAGGCACTAAGAGATAGCAAAAGAAGGTCGTGGAGGGAATTCGCAAGCTCGATCAACACGGATAGGTGGGGGAGCTGCTATAAGTGGATCAGCAAGGGATCTAAGGAACAAGGGGTCTTGACAGCTAAACTCAAGGATGATGGTAGCTTTACTAGCAATGCCCAGGAGACTGTGGAGTACATATTAGGGAAGCTCATTCCCACGGACACGGAAGGAAGAAGTAATGAGATGGAACCAGAAAGATCGTCGAGAATAGACGCAGGTGTAACCACGGAAGAAGTGAGAAGATCTATCTGGAGGATGAATCCCAGAAAAGCGCCGGGGGAGGATGCTATCACTGGGATGATGTTAAGAAAAGCATGGGGGGCAATTGCGGACTGGCTTACCACTATTGCAAACGAAGTACTGCAAGAAGGATACTTTCCCAGAGCATGGAGAAAGGCGAAGGTGATCATGTTGAAAAAGAATAAGGATGCGAATAGTAAGATGGTTAAATCATACAGACCAGTAAGTCTATTACCGGTGGTGGCGAAAGTGGTGGAGCACTTAATAGTTAAGAAACTCAATGACGAAGTGGAGAGTAGATTGGACCCGGCGCAGCATGGATTCACGTCGGGGAAGTCCACGGAAACGGCTCTGGCAGAGCTGAATGGATGGGTGGCAGGTAGGAAGGAGAAATATGTTATTGGAGCTTTTCTCGATATAACGGGGGCCTTCGATAATGTTAGATGGGAACCACTATTGGTGGACATGAGGGAACTGGGGGCGAGTATGAAATCCATTGAGTTGGCGAGGAGTTACCTTACGAATAGAACTGCAGTGATGTTCGAAGGGGGCGTAACAGCGAAGGTAACCTTGAGTAAGGGATGTCCTCAGGGGTCCAACTATGGTCCGTATTTATGGAAGATTGTGGCAAATGGAATCCTAGCTAGAAGAATTCCGGAATATGAAAAACGAATTGCATATGCTGATGATTTTGTGATATTGACGGCGGGAAAATCCAAGAGGGAGATCATCGGTAGAATGGAGAAGAGCCTAGAGGATCTACCGAGCTGGGCAGGTAGATTAGGACTTACATTCTCGGAGCAGAAGTGCAAGACTATGATGATGAAAGGCAAGTTATGGACGGGATTTACAGTTAAAATGGGGAATGGAAGGATAGCCATGTCTAAGACTATGAAGTATCTGGGATTGCACATTGGAGAAAGATTGACATACACACCACATATTTTACACTTGGGAAGTACGGCGGAGGAAATATACAGCAGGCTAAGAGCGGCGTGTGGAATTGATTGGGGCTGTGACCAGAGGACGGCGGAGATAATTTACAAAGCGGTATTCCTGCCTAAAGTGCTTTACGGAGCGAGGTTTTGGGCAGAGGGAATCAAGGATATTCGCACCAGAAGGAAACTAGAATCCATACAAAGGAGGGCGTTTCTGGCAATTACTGGGGCATATAGAACGACGTCGACGGTGGCGCTGCAGCTCATAGCGGGTCAACCACCATTGGACTTAATTGCCATACTGGAACAGAACAGAAGAAAGAATCCGGAGAGATATGTACGGGATCGGAAGCTTATGCTAGAAGAATGGCAGGCAAGAACGGACGCTGCTGAAAAAGGGGAGTGGACTAGGAAGATAATTAAAAACGTGGAAAGGAGACTTGAGATACCCATGGAGTTGGATCATTATGTTGTCCAGTACATGGGGGGACATGGAGATTTTAGAAGTAAGTTGTTTGAACTTAAATTAGTGGATGACCCGAGGTGTGAATGTGGAGATGGTGAAGATTCACCGGAGCATGCCATTCGGGAATGCGGTCTTACGGAAGAGCACAGGATGGAATTAGAGAATACACTGGATAGAATGGGACTGGACTGGCCGAATGACTTGGGGTGCATATTGGAGACAAGATTAGCCTTTGAGGCTTTACGAAAATTTTCAAGAAATACACTGATGGAGAAGAAAGCAAGAAGAGAGGAACATGTTGGTGAAATGGGCTAAATGGATCCAAACTAAATGGAGTGTTGGTCGGGTTGTCAGAGTGACAACCACATTGCCCTCCAGCAAGGGGCGTAGAATTCTACTGGGGCAATAAGTATGCCGATCGTAGAAGGAGATCAGAATAGTCGACGGCTGATGTCGCTAAAACGGGGATGGTCACCTTATAACCCTCAGGATGAGCGTCCTGGAGGGGCTCACCCGGGCCCGGTTACATCAACCTAGTCGGGTAGACGATCGCGAGGCTACGGCCGACGAGCAACTGTCGAACAGGCCACAAGCCTGGGTAACCGAAAGGAACCAAAAAAGGTGCTACGGGCGGGGGAGAGCCCCGAGTCGCGGGACCCGTCATAGAACGGGTAAGTCGTGGCCCGCTCCCCCGGCACTTGCGTGCGGACCGACGCCGTCGCTCCGTGCGCAGTGTTGGCTTGGCTTCGTAGTGGCGGTTGCAGGAGCAACTTTGTGGTAACGGCCAAGCTTGGCCAGGAACCTGTCGTTGGTGATAGGTCAGCCTGCTCGGCTAGTGAGAACTGGTCTTGTTGGTGCGACGCTCCCTGACTTCTTGTTCTGATCTACCGGTGGGAGATAAATACCGGAGGTGTAGGCGCCTACCAGATGCGTTTAGTGACTGTGATAGGGTCACGCCCATACCGGGGTGTCTGCGAACGATGCGGGGTTCAAAGACGATAGGTACGCAACGGCGCGGAGATCCCGTCAATGCGGTGCTGGTGTTCCTTAGAAGACCTACAACGGGTCCGGACCGAGCAATCGATCCGGCCCTTCTGTCCTGCCCCAATCTGCGAATAGTGCCACAGCACTAAAACGGGTTGGGGTTGTAGGCGAGCCGGCAGGCGGACCAGCATAGGACAACCATGTCCCCATCGACTACTATCGTGTTGACCGTGATGGTGCGTATATGTTATATGTNTATCTACTACTATCGTGTTGACCGTGATGGTGCGTATATGTTATATGTACGCTCCTCACACTTTGGGCTGTTTTATGCGATATACTTAGAACTTAATTCTAGTTTTGGTGTTAAACAATTCGGTTTCTTTTCGCGGGTCCACCGGTGTCAGTTTCGAGTCGGTGGCACTACATGCGAGGTCGTATCCTCGAATTTTGTTTTTTGCGTGCTAACAGTTCGGCAGTCGCACGTGCTTTTTGGTCAAACATTTGCGTTACTCAAACGGCAACTTGTTATTGCTTGCCGTTGCAGCGGACATCTTGGTAAAATTATATTATTTCAGCATACCCCTCCACTCCCCGCAATATTGGAGAGCGCCTTCAATAATCGTCGGAGAGTGCCCGGAGTGGTGTCAAACTACTGGTGGTACCTCCCCGATTTACCACCAGAAAGTGACTTTTGTACCCCCCCCCCCAC